TTAAAAGTATCATTATTTTTTATTATACATACAAAAATGTTCTCGCATCTCATATCATGGTGGAAAACATTTGCAGACCGTAAAGATATAAGACCACGGCATATGTCTCTAATAATTTGAATTTTTCTAGTCCAAGGAATATCAAATTTATTGTAAAGCTCTTTTAAAGTTCCATGTTCAGCCCAATCAAAAACCATAACATCATAACAATCAACACTTGAAAGACCGTAAAACTTGAGAACGTATGGTGAGTGACTTAATATTCTAAGGATTTCCAATTGAAGTCTTAATTCAACATTTTGATCATCTCTAATAGGTTTACATGCAACATCTACACAATTGTTAAGGAATTTCCTAAGAATAGGATAATTTTCTGAACCACGACTCATTTGACCAATAAGAGGATCATATAAATGATTTGGTTCGACTCTCTGCGTATGGATATGATTTGGTTGTCGGATTCTTAAAATGTTCAACTCCTGGATTATGGTATCAAGTTTGTTCTGAACTTCATTTACATTATTATCAAGACCTATGAGAGTCTAAAATAGAATTGAAATTCAAAATATTAAACAAACGTAATAAAGAACAAATTTTTTTTTAAATAATTAATTATTCATACTTCATTAATGCTTTTTAGAGAATTATCGACTTTTTCAGCTTCTAATCTTCTTTGGGCTTCACCAGCAATAGCCATAGTAAAATTTAAATCTTTCATACATACATCATATTCTTCAGTTAATTTATCAAATTTTTTCTTAATTTCTGTTGCGTTAAAAAATTTTCTGAAACCTTCAAGTTTTGATACTTTAGCAGTAAATTCTTTAACATTTTTTAAAATAATTTCAAATCTTTTAAAAGATTTATAACATTTTTGAAAATAACTCTCATTCTGATTAAAAGCTAACACTTGAGTCATAGCACATTCTGCAACCATTACTCTATTCGACATTATTAAACAAATATCTTTATTACATTCTGCATCTTCGTAAATTTTTTTAATTTCTTCAACTAAAATTTTTA